CGCGTGCGTGCGTGTGTGTATGCGTGCGTGCGTGTGTTTGAATAATGTTGACCACTCTGTTTCTCGCAACTCGGAAGTGCTTGGGTATTTCAGCAAGAAATTTTTGAATGAAAGCCTTTCAGTGATCATCAGTAACATTTGGGGGGGGGCATCACTGTGTCAGAGTTACCAATTCTAGGGTATTGTATCCTCTCAACAACATACAACATGCATCACGCGACTTGTAAGCTTAAGTGCTCAAACACTAGAGATAACAATAAAATGTATTCCTTAAACATAGAAAGGAACACTGAAAACTATGCTCATGACACTAATTGTGCAAACTAACGTTGATCATCGTGTGTTATGTAATGCTGACAGCTGTTTTTAAATCAATCAGAATAGCGAAATTTGTAACAATGTAGTAAGTTGAGCATAAATAATGAAAAGAACCACTTGAATTTTAAACACTAATATTCTGTAATTACAATGAATTACCTTAATAGTATGTACTATGGTGGAATTTTGTTACATGGACTAAATCTTAACTTGAGTGATAATTTTATTTTTATTAGATTTTCTACTGATACTGGACAGTGGAAGGAGAGAGGAGTAGGAGATATGAAGATACTGCAGAACAATGATACAGGTAGTTCATATTGTCATATTGCTGTTCAAATTGCTACACATGTACAGTTTATGACTGGTGTGGTTTTTATTTATCCGGATTCCTCTCTACGAAGAGAGAAATCTTATGAACTGCGGCTCAATCATAAGGGCTCCTCTAGTGTTCCTCGATAGTCTGCATATTGTATATATGATGATACTGTCTGGCGTGTTTCGGCTACCTTTACAACCTGCTGAATACTGCGTAATTGTGTGAGTACCGCATGCCCTCCTCTGTGCACAGACTATCCCAACGAGAGTTATCATTAATTTATGTTCTTCAGACTGCAGTAATAATAATGTGTATTTGCAGGCGGTTTATTACAGTTTGTTTGTGTTTCGTTTTGACTAGATCTCTTCTTATTCGCTCACCAAGAAATGGCAGGAATTATCCATAGTGGTATACAAAAAAACGAGAAATATATTTTTCTAAATCTTAGATAGTATCACATGGCGAGTCTTGCTTGTTGATGGATAGCCTAGCACATTCGCCTCTTAACTATGATATTATTCACTGTATTAGTAAACAGAAATTAGTATTTACAGTGCTGCCACTTTATATATTTTTTAAAGTATTGTACTATTTTTAAGAAAATATATTTTTTATACTTTTTTCATACTTTTTTCACGCATTAAATACTTTTAAATACTTTTTTTGCCAAAGATGGTCAAAACTCTTCGGACATACATTTAGGTACACTGTATTTGATGAGATTAAAGATGCTAGTCTGGTTGCAGGGGTGATGTGTACTCTGTTCAGTGGGGTGTTTTTGCTCTCAGCCTAGCTATCATAGATTTTAGATCTGTATTTGTAGTATCCTAGATCTATGCTATGAGCGGCACTTGATTCGGTTGCCAGTGAGTTTATCAGAAGAATACCCGGCTACAGTACACGTCAGTTGAGCGCTGTCGCTCTGCGGCACTTGTTTTAGACAATTTTGATACTTTTTTCTGGACAGATTTTATACTTTTTTGTAATATCCTGGAGTGGCAGCACTGTATTTACCAAAATGTAGTTTTACTCAACTTAGTGGAGAATCAATGGCTGAATGTTGGCAGGTGCTCTCACAAAACACGGTCACTCTCGACCGCACCAAGAACCAGACTCGATATATGTGTCTAAATGGGTGACAGTAATCGTCGATGTGACAAGTTGGATTCATTACATACTGCAATGTTACTGCTAAAGTAGAATACCTTGTTTCCATATGCATTGTACATGTATGTACTAAATGCAGGATTGCCTCTGTATCACAATATACAGTGAAACCCCGATTCTACGTGCTCTGATTTCACGCGATGAGTCATTGGACAAGTTTTTTATTGCTCTTTTTGGAACTGAAATGTTTTTTGGTGAGTTAAGCCGGCCTTATAGGTCGAATTGACGATCGCCTATAGTTCGCGCAACTAAATGAGTTTACATGACTTGTTGCTCTGGGGGTCAGTTTATATGCTGATTTTCTTGAACCCCGATTTAGCGCGATTACATGTTATGGATCCCAATGGTCGCGTTATAACGGGGCCACACTGTATATATCGTGTATCAACTGTGCATAATCATGATACGCATCATAACAGGAATGGGCAAATATCCAGCACTAGTAATAATAAAACCTTGTGTCTCATCCACCTTAGTGATATATTGGCAGCTAGAAAGTAGGTATGCATATATGCATATGTATTTAGATGCTACACAACATAATTTAATTTTAGTATCGACTGCAGTGCTCTCGCTCCTCAAAGCTCTACTTATACATTGGAGTCGCGAAGACAATGCGAGCGGTACCACTCTTTTGATGCAGTCAAACCTGAAATATATATAAACACTTCATGATAGTTTTTAGCTATGAGTTGGTGCATTGTGGCTGCAAGCTGGGCTGTAAACACCAGTGTGGATGTCAGTCATCAAAGTCTCCGTGCACTGAGCTATGTAACTGCAGGGAGCATGTAGTGACACCTGAATGGTACAGAAAGTGGTTTCTGTATATATACTGATACTATATTTTTAAATGCATGGATTTTCACAGGTCATTGTTTCTATTCTATTCCATGATGGAGAAAGCTGAAAGAAATATTGGTAACCAATTTGAATGGCGACTTTCGAAATACAAGTAGCCCGGCTACTGATCGATATTGATTTTAATTACAATGGGTTCCTTGACGTCGAGCATGTTGGTTTAGACATTAAGATCATGTTTACATGTTAAATATTAGCTAAAATATTATGGATAACGGATTTTAATGGCGGCGATTATAAAATTTGAGATGGCGGACAGATACTATACTGATAACGATGGGTACCACAGATCTCGTATAAATCTACACATCTTAAACTACCTGTGTGCCATTTTTTATACTTTTTGTCAAAGCGAGTCACAATTATTCCTTTTTAGCTGGCTGTACTTAGTAACGTTATTAGAGATATTAAAATTGCGTTGTGTTATTAGTAATATGAACTTCCGATTGGTTGTTGTAAGCAGTCTCTTCACGGTTGTTTTTGCCTATGCCGGGAAAGTGAACAAATTCAACTTTTAGAACGTGTTTTGTTTATTGATTTGAAAAATTAATTTTCCTAGTCAGGGGTAGACTGTTCTGGCGGAGGGAACAGATTCATACTGGCCTGCAACCAGCTCGTTGTGTCTACCATGGAATTAAAACCAACTGATGTCATCAGAAACAGCTTGGTGCTGGATGCGTTGGATCAGCAAGGTGAAAGTGAATCCAACACAATAACGTTTGCTATCAGGTTTAAGGTAATTATCATTATATTCATGCTTATTTATGCATATCTCACATAGATGTGAAAAATGGCAGATCCATGTGCATGACTATCACTATTTGCTCTATCCTGAGGTATTGTGAAGACTGTTGTTAACGTTGCAGCTCACTGTATGCTTTTACTGCTATACTTCTGGGTTGAGAGGCAACGATTGAAGCATTTCTATGAGCATCTGACAATTAATCTACGTTACGGTCTATAGCATCCAGTCTGTTATCCTACGTCTTGTTTTTTCAATTTGATTAGCTTGATTATGCAATGTTTTCTCTTAGGAACTTTTCTTTATATAATCTCAGTTGGCTCAAGATGTAGGGAGTTTTGGGCGAATATATTAGGGAGAGGATGTAATAGGAGGGGGCACTCCAGCGGGGATTCTGGTTCTGGGGGCAGAGGGAACGCGGCACCGTGCGACCGCGCGTGTGCGCGTTCTTTGTTTGTTTGTTGGCGATTGGACTGATGATGTGGCTACACGTGTATGAAGTATTAAAGATTTACAGTTGGTTCCACACAAGTTTGCGATCTACTTCACCATTCTACATTGAACTCGGCATCCCGTGTTTTGACAGCAGGCAATCTTCTGTAGTGGAGTTAAGGATGCATGGTATTCGTCTTATGTTGCATTTATAAACAGGGCCGCATCCTGGCATGGCTCTCTCAGGGTGGAGGGGGGGGGAAATGAGAAGATCTTGGTGCACTCTGATCATTTTCGACGAAGTGCTATACATCATAGATGTCGAGGGTCAGCTAAGATTCGGAGGTGGCGCCGGCTGCGGCGTTTTGTTTCAGTGTAAGCACGCGTCGGATGTCTGTGATCGATGTGCGCATGCATAAATCAGCAGATATTTAAATAAAAATGGAGCGAGTGGGTCACACCTGAAGAACGCCTTGTGTTGATGTTGAAATGCATCAGTCTCACCCTCTGGAGTGATCTGACTACGCAGAGGTATTCTGTACACATGACTGGGACATGTCTGCTCAACTACGTCAGGGGGGATACGTATCGCTTTGAGGATTCAAACATTTTCTTTCGGTTGATGGATCGAGGCCTTTTAGGGAAAAGTCGGATGGAACGTTACTATGGCCTTTCCATGTCGATGATTCTTACTTCTTCCTACGATATCGTCGAAGAGCAAGTATATGGATGTGGTGGAACAGCTTGACGAAAACCATTCTGATTCGGACGCAGTCCTGTCAATAACTGTGACAGGATTCTGTTGACGTAGAAACGCTGATTGTAAATTTTTAGCTTCATCTGACATAGTCAGATGCAGCTTGGCTAGAATCGCAATGATCCCGTCCGTACGGTCCTCGTCCGTTGCGTCCGTCCGTCAACAGTTGGCACGAAATCTTAACCGCTCGATACGCGGCTCACGATATTCGGGACGTGGGGGGTAATTCGCGAAAGACGAGTTGGGATGGTTGAAGCGTGGGGGTCCAAAGGTCAAAGGTCAAGAGGTGTAAAAGTAAGGGGGAACATTCCCTCCCTTAATTAAGGTATAGGGAGAGAATGCAGAATTGTCGGCACAGAATCTAAAACGGCTCTGACCTAGGCTCCGTGATAGTCGGTGTCGATAGCATCATGGGGTAGGAAAAGCCATCACTGTGCCGAAATTGGAGTGACAATATGTCAAAGGTCAGATGGGGCACAGGGCAAAGATTTTAGACATTGTTGAGGCATGGTCTGACGGAGGCGATTGAAAAACTTTTTTGTTTCAGCGTGACCTAGCATTTTTATGGCTTTATTGAAAGGACCGCATAATGTCCATAATTTATTCCGACGATTTCTTGGAAAGAGACATTCCCAATGACAAGATTGTGTTGTTCGATGAATCAAGGAGAAGAAGGCCGTTGCGATTTGATGTATATCAGTGGGGCAGTTTTCAAAAAGAGTAAAATAGAGGATGACCCTAAACTTTTTGGAGAGGCTGGAAACGGATAATATATCATTTCTAGATACTTGGGTAGTTCCACTGGGTATGTTTCCAGGCTGACTTTTGCGTATTGTGGTGGCATACTTAAAATCCAAAATGACCGCCAGCGAAAATGGATTTCTGAAATATCTAGACTCCCAGACGTTGTAGCAGACATGTTGGTGGCTACACCACACTTTTCGATGGTAGAGAACCCAATTATGCATACTTAGAGAAACTTAGGATGGCGCGCCATATTGGATTTCAAGATTGCCGCCAGTGAAATTTGTTTAT